TGGAAGGGACATGTCTTTCTGTGTAAGACCCCATGTTGTACAAACACAGGTTTTGTTGTCTTTTTTTTTAATACTTAAAACAACACCCCCAAGCCTGGGGGTAATACATAGAAATGTCAAAGTTGTAAAATTGCATCTTCAAGTTCAGGAACTGCATGGGTACAGGGAGCTTGAGTTGACCTGGCAGGTCTTTAAGTAACTCTACTTAGATGGAACAAAGCCACAGAAAGGTGTATGTATGACCTAAGTCCCTCAGGAGTGCTCAAGCCTAGGAAAGCTCTTTTCCCTTCCTGTTGGTTTGATAAACTCACTAAAGGTGGACTTTGCTGCATCAAACAGGATATACTAAGAATTCACTCATTGTCCTGACTATCTGTGCCCTGCATTGTCCATTTAGCTTCAGCTATGCTCTGTAGTGGCTCATCCAAACCCAGATGATGGTAAGCGAAGGAACCACTTGACACTGGAAAAAGGCTGCCTCCTTCCAGAGCAGAGCTATGTTCTTAAAATTGTTATCGTCTTATTCTGTCTGGCTGACTCAAAGTCTGGGAACTGTTGATGTTCAAGCTGTAAACTTAAAAAAAAGACTAGATTTTATACGAGACTCTCTTTAAAATGGTAGAAATGTTTACAGAGTGTCTCATGGATGCCAGTGAGAAAATAAGTGATGTACTGAAGGCTGAGATTGCTTAGGAAGGATATAGGTCTTGGTCTGTTAATGTAGTAATGCAAGTATACGTGTGACTTTTGCAGTACATATATTTTCCTGGGTAGGAGATGTGATATGGGAGGTTATTTCTATCACCTAACTTTTCCCCTTTCTCCAGCTTCCATTAGGTGGCTTGAGGCAAGAACAGTGATTCACAGCAGCAGGCAGTTACTTCACATTTTTTCCACAGTAATTTATGCATTTTCTATGTCAGGGAGTTTACTTTTTTCCTGACATAACTCAGGTTGCTCATGGCCTCGGTGCCTGTTGTTCAGAGTAAAAAGATTACTTCAACAGTAATTTTTCCTGTGAACTGCATCTCCTTGTCCCTCAACCCCAGTGTACATTGCAGTCATTTCAGATGTGGATGCTTGCTAGATATTCTGCAAGGGTAAGGCTAAGGGAGGGGAGTCCTAGTGGGAGCATAAAGAGTTATGCCTGCCACTAGCAGTAGATCTGGACATGCAAGTAATTGACCCTGTTTTGACTTATTGTCAGGATAATGCAACAAAAACTGTTCTTAAGCTTCTGAGCCTCTGACAGAAGTAGTGCAAGTGGGCTTCTGGCTTATAGCCATGGTAACTTAATGTGAAAATTGCTTAGGGAGAGTTGTTTGTACCTGCCTGTTTCACTCTTACCAGTGATAAGATAAAAATACCATTTTTAAGGTGACACCAATTGAGCCAGAAAAATCAGTCCAACTTTTGCAAGTGTACCCTAGGAAAAGGAGGCTTACTGGAAGGGACTTTATTGTTTTAAAACCATGTCCCATTGGGAGGTATTCTGCTGAGTGATGCTGTCTGTATTCAGTGGTTGTCTTGGAAAAAGAAAGCGAGTATTCATGCTGGGTTGTAAAACATGGGAGAGAAGCATGCCAATGCACTCCTCATCGAGGCTCTGAGAATATTCTGCAACCACGGGAAATGATCTTTGATGGTTCTGCAGTACAAGTTCCTCATCTGGAAGCGTTGCCATCTAGAGGGATGGGGAAGCACTTACATGGCCTCTCTGATCCCTCTGTGACATGCTCTGCATGAGGAACTATTGCAGTTACGTGCATTTTTTGAAAATTGTGGAATTTAATAGCTTTTCGAAGAATGGAGTAGATTGTACCTGATGAACATACTTCTTTACCTTTTGTTCCAAAGTAACAATACCCTGTACATCTAGTATAATATCACAGGAGGCCCCAGGACTCTGGAACAGCTTGATTTTTCTATTCTATGTTAAAATGCTTCTTTGAGGAATACAAAAATGTTTCTTCAAAACTTTCAGGTATGTAAAATAGAACTTATTCCTTGTTGAACAGGAGCAAACAACCAGTGGAACAAATGTTCAGCATGATGAACAGTGTATTGAGCAAGAAGAAAAATCAAATGAGAGTAGACAAGTATTAGGGTTATTCTTCTACCCAATGGGAACAGCATGAATTTTTTTGCCATAAGCTTATTTGAAACACTGAGACCTACTGAGAATTCTTCAGTTTAAGAAATAGATTTTGTAGTTTCAGAGTAAGAAGCTGGCAGCTGGGAAGTGAGCGTGGTGTTTTTAATAAAGTGCCATTTTTGTCGTTTATGTGACTTTAATGACACTTAAAAAATCAGAAATATTGCTGGCTTTTGACTTTTGAAATACGGTGAATGTAATTATATGGCTGTTGTCTAGTGCATTTTTCTTATGTGTTGGTGAAAAAACTATACTTGCTTGAACAACAGGGGAGTAATTATACTTCCCTTTATTTGCAAAACACTTAATACTGTACTGGGTGCTCCTACAATGTGGACTCAGTGACAATTTGGCCTTCGTAACCCAGTGAGGAAATTATTGTATAGTTCACAAAGCCATTTTACTGAGGTTACCTTAAACCTCTCAGTTCAAAGGTTAGTTTGGTATTTTTTTCTATTAGCTGCATTTATTTCATCAGTGTTTAATACTCTCCAGTAACTTAATGGCTAACTTTATACAAAGACTGGTACAAAATTATCTTTAAGAATGTGTTTCCCAAATTGTAATTGCTATTGTCTCTGTTCTTCTCACACACGGGCCCAAAAAAAAAAAACCCAACCCTGAACCTGAAGCGTCCTGAGTTCTGCCAAAGTTCACATAATGGTTTGGATAAAGTGCTGTGGCTCAGATCCACTTGTAATTTTTCTCCATTGTTGGCTTCTGGGTTGCTGCTTTAAATCCGAAAAGCAATTCTGTAATTACTCTGTGCAGAAGCATTCATGAGAACAATAGCAACAAGCTTATTATCATACTGATACTTTTTTTTATGCCAGGTCTCTTCCTATTTTATATAACTTAAGAACTACTCACTTTTCCAGTTATTCTATGAGTATCTTTTGCAGTTTTGGGTTGGTTTCTCAATCTGTAAAGCCAATCATGATGATTACATACTGCTCACTGCTTCATTACAGTGTGAAGTGGCATCCTAAATAACAAGCCATAGCTGTGTTTTCTGGGATCTTGCAGAAGCAGACAAAAAAGTGAAGACTGGCTGTTTACTTTTATCCAAAGATTTCTTTAAAGGGCAAAATCTTCCTGTAAATTAAGGAAAATTCAGGGATCAGTTGCTCAAACTTAAAGTACTGCTTATCCATGTTACTGGTAATACCCAGTAACAGGAAAACTCAGAACTAGAGTTAACTGAGGAATGGTAAGTATTTTTTCTTCCAGATACTTTTTTGCTATGCTAGCAGTTAAGCATAAAACCAAATACAATGGTGAAGAGGGAAAATGACAGCAGCGTCCCTCTTGCTTATTTCTGTCAGCCTCCTTTACTTCAGTGGATCTCTGAGGTTGAAATGGAATTACCAGCACATTTTTGCTTTCTGTGGAAATGCATAAAATTAATGATCTGTGGAAGAGGTCTTCAGGCTTTTGCTCACTTTATAAAACTGCAAATACAGGCATGGGTGGAAAAATAGTCTACAAGCCTTTGTTTTCCATCTCTGTCCTCCTTTGCCCCTTCCAATGGTCTCTTACTTTTGTAATTGGAACTAATGTAAGGGAAGGCTGAGGGCAGTTATTGCTGCCTCTAAGAGAGGCTGTCCCATGCACTTTTCCTCCAAATGTTCTCTGCCTTGTGTATCTAAAGTCATGGAGATGGTGGCAACCTGGCTTTTCTGGCATGGACTTCTCCCTCCAACTGATTTTTGCTGTGTAACTTTACATTTTAGGCTACTGCCCACTTTGCCTAGTGTCATCTTTGCCCATAACATATGCAAAAAATAGTTGTTACAAGTTGTAAGTTTCAGAAGTCACTATATTCCAAAAATGAAGAAAACCTCCCACCAATTCTAGGCTTATCTCATCTTAGTTTACATCCCAACAGTATTCTAATTTCTAATCTTCAGTGTAACAAAAGACTATGGTTTGTTCTAGCTTAGCTTGCCCGCAGTCAGAAGTTTTGCTTCAATGCTACACCATGGTTGTAGTTCTGTATAAAGGTGCTCCAAGCTGGGGCTTGAAATCCAGATCCCTCTGAGTGTTGAGGAAGGTAGACTCAGCCTGACTCCAAGCCGGGCCTGTAGATATGATGGATAGATGTACTAAGCCAAACAGTATAAACTGAACTCTTTTCCTTGTGGTCCATCTCTGAATATTGAGGTTTATATTTCCTGTGGAATCTTTTTTGGTTGAAGCTTCTAATTATGAAAGACTTGTGGTCAGAAGACATGGAGCGGTCTTGCGAATGAAAAACCTAATGTAAGAGAAGTTCTTTTTCCAAGATTTTGCGATTAGAAGATGTTGCCACAGCATTGCAATTAGAGAACACCTTGATGCAGACATTGTAAGAAAAAAGATTTGTTATTGACCATCCCTTTCTAACAGCTCTGCAGTGAATGCTGGTGCCAGGTTCTGCACAGGTAAGTTTCAGAAGAAGAGTTTTTCTTTTGGAAAAAAAAAAAAGACACAGTGGGATAACAATCTCTTGACCTCTGTCTCAGGAAATTACTTGTGTGGGATATATAGCCACCTGAAACTAAAAAGGCAATTGACTGATCAGTGCAACAAGGGGAGACTACCAAGTGATGCACTCCAATGGCTTGTGGAGGGAAAGGGGAGGGAGGAGACTTCTTTTAAGTCTAAGGATAGTACTTGATGCATGCTTGCTATGTTAACTGTTATTGCTGTTAGCATAAATGGTTTTTGTTCTGTCTGTCTTCTCTCTTTTCTGGACTTGGCCGGGCCATGTACAAATCCCAATCATTCAACAGTACTGGAGAGTAGATAGTATTTACCTCAATAATGGTAGTTTCTTTTCGATTCTTTTTAACCCTGAATTCAGATGATGGTTCGAAGCCAACGCCTACCATGGAAACCCAGCCTATTTTCGATGGAGAAGGTAAGAGCATCCCTTAAAATAACAAATAAAAAGCTACTTGCCGCCTCCTTTTCTCTTGGATTTATGGCTCAAATGCGTTCTTTATCTTGCAAAGCAGAAAAGCCAGTGAATCTCATAAGTTATCCAAATTTCACAGTGCCCTTGGGACCTCAGGCATTTTCCCTAATCCTTTTACATCCTCCCTTCTTCCCTGGAATCCAACAATAACACTGGTTGACCAGATTCCTGGGGTAACCTTAGAGGAAAAGGTGTCACAGCAAAAATGTGCATCAAGTCAGAAATGGCAGCTTCCTTTAGACTGTCTTTACCTCCTCAGTCTCTCCACCCTCATGATAGCAATGCTGGGAGTTTCATAACCTTTGCAGCGTGTTATAGCCTCATGAAAGGGAGGGGTGCTAAACCACAGCTTGTGAATGTTGACTTAGAAGAAAATTGCTGGAAGGTTTCTTTATTTAGCAATTACTTTCATTGACGCACATACTATTGAGGCAAATGAAGTCAGTGTCCTGGGCCCACTTAATTCATGGCCCACCAAGGCAACTTCCTTCTCAAATGGGCTAATCTTGCAATTGTATTATTTTGGAGAGGGAATATAGGACCTTAGTCCATTAAAAGGCTTGAAACAAGTATAAAATGGCTGTCATTACAGAAGATTCAAGCCTTTTACACATACAAACATAAATACCAGTGGGGATAGTGGTCTTTGGGTAGTGAATGGGCCTATTAGCAGCTGCTTATATGTTGCATATTGCTTAGAAGTAGTTTTCTACAGATTTAAACCCACAGCCATTATAGTCAAGCTATGGGCTGAAGTCCAAGCCACTCTGTGACCCACCTGAAACTGTGGACCATAAGGCAGTGAAGGAAAGCCTATGCATGTTCATACTGAACTGCTGTACTTAGTTTTTTTTAAACTGAATCAAAGGCAGAAATGGAGACTACTGAGAGAGTAGGTGGTGCTGCTGATACCTCCTGCATTCTCGTTAAACCAGGTGATGGGGTGGGTTTTTTTTCTTGCTAAAATAAGCTTATTTAATGGCAAGGTGCTGTAGCCCTATCACTTCCATTTAGTGATCATAGGTTTGTAAGAATCTTTAAGAATTTAAGAAATAAAGGAAAGCCCTTAGAGCAAAAAGCATTCTCAAATAAACAAAGGAGACTGAAACCATGCTGACTATCTCTTTTTTTTTTTTTTTAATCTAAAGAAAGTTCCTCCTGGCAGCAAGCTGATGTTGTATTAAATTGCTTTTTGTATTGAAGAACTTCTGGCCTTTAAGTTTTCCCCTGAGAGGCTACCCATAGATATTCAAAGGAAAGAATGGACCAGTAAAATGCAGGAGTAAGCTGATCTGGTTAATACAGCCTGTTCAGAAGCTCCCTCTAGGAGATACTCAACATTTTGGTCATTCAAATAGAAGTGGGTAAAGTTCTTGAGAAACGATGTAGTGAACAGACCTTTTCTGGTCCTTCTGGTGACAGGCAAAAAATCTTACCATCTTATCCTATCTTCTGTGAAAAACACTTTCAATCAAACCTCTTTGCATTGATTTGCAGGTGAAATGAAGTCTGATAAGTGGGCTTGGACTGTAAGATGAAAGATTCTCTAGCGAGTCTTGCAATATATTATGCAAGACTTTATCTTCTAGACTTCTAGAGAATGATTAATGCAATGGCTTCCTGTTGTATTAGCGGTATCCATTATGACTTGGGAGAAGAGAATATGACAGGCAGGTTAATCAAGCTATGCATTGATGAATAACCTCTGTTAAGTTTGTCACTCTGTATTTTTGTCATCCCTGTTAGTAAAATAGGACTAACTAGATTTCAGTGGTGGTTGTAGCAATAAGCACAAGAAAATCCATTCTGGGTCTGACCAAAAGTTTGTGTAATCCACTACCTTTGAGCGTAATGTCTTCAACGGCGGCTTAAAGTGGACACATCAGGAAAAGTGTATGAAGCGTTTACATATGAAGCCCGGAGAAATGAAAACTTAAAGGTGACAAAATAGCAGCCTTCCAATACCTACATGGAAGTTTGCCGAGAAGATGGAGCCAGGCTGTTCACAGTAATGCATGATGAGACAACAGTCATAAATGGAAACGAAATGTTTGGACTGGATATAAGGAAAAGCTTTGTCACCATGAGGACAGTGAGGCAGTGGAACAGATTGCCCAGAAGTGATATTCTGTCCTTCCTTTCTGAGCCAGCTGGATAAAGCTGTGAGCAACCTGGTCTGTTCTTATAGCTCACCCTTTCTGGAGCAGAAGGTTGGACTAGACACTTCAGAATGTCATCCTGAACAATCCCTTGTTTCTGAGTCATGATCCTTCACTAGAATACTCTCCTAGTGTCTTGGGTAGGTCCTCTTCCTGAGGAATGGCTCGTACTTGGCATCTAACACAAATGTCAGATGACAGGTCTGGACTCTTCATAGATGTTTAAAGGAGGTAAAGTCCAAATCCTATTCTGTTTCAGTGGGTTTGAGATCTGCTGGGCTCCTGAAACCCGTGTATTCAAAGTCAAGCAACCAGAGTGGAGCCGATAGCAACACAAATGGACAATAAAAATATGGAATTTCTTTTCATGGTTTGTTTTTGGGTGCCTACTTTCAGTCCACAAGGGGCTGACTTCAAAAGGCATTAAATACTCAGGTGCCACTGAAATGTGTGATACCTTTTGGACCTCTCTAAGATGAAGGTTCATGTTTCTCATGTTTTCACCTACATTAGAGGATAATGAAAATTCACATTTTGGGCAGAGTAGGTTCCCCTCCCACTCCTTACCATCCTCCCTGAGGGCAAAACAGAGCAGTGCCAGAGATAATGTAGATAGATAACGTTTCTGTCCAAGGTTTGAATCATAAAGCAGCCACCTCTTTAATAATTGTTCGAGTTCATTACAATGCAGATCTCAGTGATGTTTATAGTGAATCTCCTCTTAGGACAAGATTCTCCTCTGCAGAAGAGTATTTTATTAATGGTCCTTACTATAGTTTTAAAGTATTCTTTCATCCTGCACTTCTAGGCTCTGTTTTCTTTGCATCCACCATCTATTTAGTTTCAATGTGCAAGTTGTATTCATTTCCTAAAAAGTAATTTCTTTAAATATCTTCTCTTTTTGGTAAACTTCAACTCAGTGGGAATCTACTCTTTCCACATATCTGTTGTTCAGAGGAGTCTATGTTGCTTACCTATATTCCAAAAAATGTTTAGGTTAACTGAATCGAAAACACTTTTATGGTAGATCCCAGAGGGTTCATTTCCTTTTCTTTTCATCTCTCCATCAATTCCTTTTTCTGCATCTTTCAACCTCGCTCTAAACATATGTGCTATTGTTTTTGGCCTTTTCTAAAGGCCCTGACCCGTTCTTTGGCATTTGTTGCCTTTGGTTGTCCTGCCTTTTGCAGCTGTAGACATACCCAGTCCATATAGTGCAGAGCCAGAGCTAAATTTCATCCCAGATTTAGGAGTTTAGATCTAGCACTTTGGCTTATGGACTTTTTCTACTTTTGTGCTTCTCCTCTTCCTACCTCTCACCCAGTGTTTAATTTGATGTATTTTCTCCCCAAAAAAGGCCCGAAGTATATAGGTGTATGTATTTATAGGAGCGCATCATGACTGAATGATGATAAAATAGTGTAGTGAAACCTGCAGATAAGGTAATGTTTCTTAAGCAAACTTTTATTACTGCTGGAATATCAGCGTTCAACCTGTATTTCTGTATGAAAAAATGCCCTGGCCATGATTGCAATAATGCCTACAATCAATGTAGCTGAAAACATTTAGGAATGAAAAATTCCCTTTCATTTTTCCTTTGTGCTCTTATGTATAATCAGTTTCTCTCGTAGTCAGCAACCTTCTCCCTTGAAGCAGACCCATGTAAATGTCAACATGGAGCAGGAAAACTCATAAAAACTTCTTACAGGAACTTAAGACAAACTCCAGGATCTAATATTTAAGGCATGCTTTTGTGGAAACTGAAAATTTTTCAGAAAATATCAGTTCTGAAAATGTCCCCTTAGGAGCTCTAGCCCATGGTATAGAGTACTGCTTTGCTTAGTTCTAATCAAAAGCTGATGTTGTGCCATTTCTGTGGCTTCGTGCAGGTTCTGCTGTGTTTTGAAGTTGATTGTAACACCTCAGAGGAGGTGCTCTAAGCACTTTTTTAACACAAATTTATGTTTGGATGTCTTGGTCATACTGCATCAGACATGCTTTTCTAACCAGAGCTTGTTTCTTTAACAGACTTCCTTTCAAGTCTTTCCAGAAACATCATTTCTCTGCCTATTTATTTCAGATTTTGTTGTTGCTTGTTTTAGGGAACCGACTGTAGTCAGCCCTTCTTGGGCTGTTAAAGCAATATTTAAGGTCAGCGTTAACTTTTTAATATGGATTTCGTACATACTTTGGTGGAAAATTTAGTGGAATATGTGTGGCTATATACTATAGCACACAACATAACCTTTGAGATTTCTTACATCTTGAACAGAAAGGCTTTAGACTTTAGAATTTAAGAAGTGGAGGATAGAGGGAAGAAAAAAAAATGTTTTGCCAGCAGAGAGGTACTCTCTGGAACAGGAAGATAGTGAGATAACCTTGTGGAAGACTTACAAATAGTGGTTCTTAAGAGTTTGAAGACCTCACCAGAGGATGAGCAGATATCTGCAAAGATAGTGGATCAGTTAAGTCATGATTGTAGCAGACATCTTGTCCTCATGAGTAACAACAATGTGTATTCACTAGTTGCTGTAGTTTCTTTAAGGCAGTCATTTCTTTCTCTTTCAGAAATCACAGCACCTACCCTTTGGATTAAGCACTTGGTCATCAAAGATTCCAAACTGAACAGCTCCAGTATAAGGAATTCAGGTAATATTCCATCAAAAATAAAGGTTTGTTTTAACTAGACTGCAGTCCCCCACTGTCTGTTCTTGTGTTATTTGTTCTATGTTTTAGCTGTCCTGCTGCTTTTGAGTGTTGCAGGACTTGTAGTGCAGGTTATAAAATAATTTCAGACAACCTCATTGTCCAACCAGCTGTGTCTGGAAGGCCCCAGCTGATGTGTGATGAGATGTTTGTGTTTCCCCAAACCGTAACTGGGGAACCTCTAGTTTCTAATAATACAGAGAGGGGTGGCTTTTCTAGAAACTTCAAGATTCTTCTCTGCAGGGGACATTTTTTGATAAAGAAATGATTAGATTATTTCACAACTGAAAATGGGTTATTTATGTCTGGGTCTAAGTAAACATTGAGATTATTTTTGCGGGTAATAGAGTGGATGAGGGAAGACCCAAGCATAAAAACCAGCAAAGAAAAGATCATGAACATGAGTGGGAAAGCGTCAAGCAGGAAGATGTGAAGCTAGAATGTAAAACTTGGGATTGGAGATGGTGGTTAAACTCTGTGGAGTCACTGATATCACAAGAAACTGGAATGATCTGAAGAGGAAAATTAAGGATTCTCAGTAAGAACAGTTTCTATCTGGTATATTTTAACTGAAGTGGGAGAAAGGAAGAACATAAAGGGAATATCAAAAGAGAATTGTCTTAAGAAGTCATGGGTTTATTTTAACCTTAAAATAGGAGCTGCTTCTATTTCATGTAGTTTATGAAACAATATATGCCTAGAATAGCTGTTGGGAATAATTCCAGTCCCAAGAACGTGTAAATAGCGATAGCTTGTGGTACCTTGTCACCTGGTATTTCTGGATTAGCCTGTAAGCATACATGGCACTCAGCAGTTCACTTAACCTTCCTGTGTCACTTCCCAACTGCAGGGTAAAATCAGTGCTAGGTTAGATGAGATTCTCTTGCTGAAGAGTGGAGAAGAGCGCTTAGCAGGAGAACATCCATTATTGCCCAGACCCCAATTTTAGCAAGTCTCCTGTGCCTCACCTCCTGACTGTTTTTGTAGTAGGGAGGTCTATGTAGGAACTGCCAGTGTGAATCATCCAGAAGCTTCAGATGGTGTAGGAGTATTAGTGTTCTTCTCTAAGGATGTTTTTCATGGGAGAGCAAATGCAGCTTGTGTTTTGTGAGCTGCTTGGACAACCAGCAGCTCACAGTGCAATTGAAGGTGACAGTTTAATATTAAAATCCTATGTAATGGATCCTACTTATCTTGGAGACCAACTTTCCTTCTAATGCAGCAAACCTGGTAGCTGCAATAGAAATAAGAGTTCCTAGATCTGAGTTCTAGGAGGCAATAAAATAGGGACGTGGGAGCAGGAGGTTCTTTTTCTTGAGAACCTGTCTCCCACCCTTTCTTGGTTCCAACAGAGCCAAAGGAGGCTGGCTTTCATGTTGTAAAGCCAATCAGTTTGTTCAAGTGTTTAGTCAGGATGCTGCCTGATGTAAACTGAAGTTTTCTTCATGGAAGAGTTCCTTTTGTGAGTTTACTTTTGTTCACTTTTTTCCCCCATTGGTTCTGATGTCATTTCTGTTATTAAAACAAGATTATTGTGGGTACATGCAACAAATCAAAAATAAATGATCTTCTGGAAGATTCAAGAGTTCTACAAGAGGTGCTTTTTACAGCAAGCTAAAAGGAGATGTGTGGTTCAGCTGATTTGGCCTTACTGAGTGCCCTGATGGGCACTCATTTGCTGTAGGATCTCATTAAGAGACTGGGTTGCCAATTTTTAGCCCCAGATTTCCACGTTGGGCCATACAAATACACACCCATCTCCGGTTTTTACACCAAATTATTGATATCAAGAAATGCTCCCTCATCAAAATAGGGCTGTGGTTTAGCTGATATTAGGTGTGGGCTGCTTCAGTCTGTTTCTTTCAACCAGTGAAGCCTAGTCCCCTTGTTTGCTTCCTTTCATTCATTTCATCCCTTGTCATATATGTTAAAAGGCAATGTAGTGTAGGTGGGATTGAACAACAAAGAGCTGGAGAGAGTAATTATCATTTAGAATCAGGTCCATCAAATGCCTTCAAGTCTGTCTTGGCTGAAGATAATGAAACAGCTGTCATGAGATGGGCATGCAAAATTAGGGGATGTTTTTAATTGCTTTTGGCCCTTGTCAGCTTGAAATAATAACTCTCAGCACATTTCTGATTTTTCATTTGTTTTTGGAGGGTTAAAGTAGGTTTTACTAGTGCAAGACTTGGTTTTTTGTTTTGGCATTTGCTCAGCTATATTGTCTCTTTGAGCTTGTGCTTACTGTCTTGAAGCAGATACAGCCTTGTATCTTCTTGCAGCAATTTAATGGGATCACTGGAATTAGGTGAGCAAAGACCTAGCAGGTCATCTAATCTACTGCCTTAGGGATAGTGAATGTTTGTACTGTATGAAGAACAGCATTTGCTAGTGTAGCATAAATGCCTTGGGCAATAAAGATTTCACTTCTCACAGGAAGCTGCTCTGCTGTCTGAACTCAATCTCAGGATTTTTCTTTTTGTAATATCCAGTCTAACTCTTATTTCTGTTCTTTCATCAGTCTTGAGTTCTTGAAAGCCTGCCCTATTCCTTGGACCTTGTATACTGAAAAAATTAACCCTGATCTCTCTCCTCCCTGCAACTGTTGTATAACCCTGTCCTTTGCAGTGAAGAGACATCCAGTAGATACTACTGTCAGAGGATATGCACTGCTCTCTAATCAGCACTGACATTGGACATCTCAGAAAGCTAGCACCGTTACTATATCAACCATGAGGAGAATTTAAGAATTGCTATATGGGGACAAACAGGCTTTGTAGTTTGCTGTCATTGTCTAGTCAATGTTAGGCTTCAGAGTGAACCAACCACCAGGTAGCTGATCATTGCAGAGCTGCTGACACCCGATGTTGCATACACAGCCTAGATCTTCTAAGAGCTGCGTTTGAAATCTGAGTGTTCCACCTTCCACTTAGTGTTGACAAACAGAAGAGGTTCTCCTGAAACAGTCCTCTCTTTTGGAGCTTTTATGTTTTGCTTGGCATGTGCAAATACTAATTAAGCTGGGGATCAGGAAAAGCAGAATGACTCCAGCCTGGTGATTAGAGCACTTGACTGAGAATCTATATGTCTCCAGGCATTTTGCCAATGAATTTTTCTATGCTAAGTAAAACAGCATTGCTAGGAGGGATTGCTAGCGCTGTTACCCCAGCCCACCTTAAAGAATGAAATGATCTCTTTCTCAGTAGGGTGAGATGCAGGCTTAAACCTTCTTGGTCAGAAGCAGGAACCAAAATATGAACATGCTCTAACATCTAGACTGCTGAGTAGCAGAAAAGTTATTGGTTTTCTACACTTACAAATTAAGTCTTTGGCCTTTATGAATCCTAAAAGCCCAAAAGTCAGTTTTTCTTTTCAGGGAAAGTGAAAGATCTAGATCAACACAATATTTTGTTTGCTGTGGCAAGATGACAAACATTTTTTGATGTTTATTTTGAATTGATTTTTACCTTCCCAAGCATGTGCACACGTGGATACTCCAAACTAAGCCTGTGATTTAGCACTGCCCTCTGTAATGTGTCATTTATTTTTCACACCGCTAGAGCAGGAGGGGGTACAGATGGGGCCTTTGCAATGGCCATTCTCTAATCAGCATGGGTGGGAATTGCCTTTTCATTCTACTTTTACTCTTTCAGCCTCTTACTTTCCCACCTCCTACCCCCAACCTATTCCAGCCTACAACAGTCCAAATTATTTACAATTCTTAATCTAGGAAAACACTTGATAATGTATCCCACTTCCAAGAAAATAAATCTAATGGATGCCTGTTTGGGAGCACCCCATCTCCACTGAGGAGTCCATAGTTGTTCCTCATTTCCAGAGTTGGGTTACCTCGAAATCCATTTGCTACTTAGCGATTTGGATTTAGTTAGCAAGAGATTCCAGCCTGTATCCAGCTTACCCTGACAACCTTTAAGAAAACCACAGAGTGATGTAATGAGCTCATGCACGGAAAAACAAACAGCTCTAGAGAAACCAGCAGTAGCAGCCTCAAGTAAATATTGGGGGGTTTTGAACATGACGTTATTTGAAAGGAAGAATGACTAATATATTAAGGTTAGCAGCTGAAGACAGGTTTGTGTGTGCTTAGTTAAAAAAAAAAAAAAAGAAAAAAACCCACCCCCAACCCTATAACTGTTTATTTCAAAATCTTACTTGTCGAGTGGGGGCCAACTCCCTGTGGCCTATTCTGTTCAGCTCTGGCACCCAAGTATCATGCAGGCATCTCATGTGACAGCTTTCCAGTGACAGAGCTTTCTGCTGTTGGGAGCTCTTAGTGGACAGGGTAAATGAGCTTTGAAAACAAGAATGGTGGTATTCATGTTTCTTTTTATTAATTGAATTCACTTGGAGCCCAAACTTTAGGGATTCTCAAAGGCAGAAACAGCTTGAAAGCTGAATGTCTGTATATAGTTTTGCAAGAAGCAGAAGCACACTCCACCATCCAAGGGAGTCTGTGTAACTCTTGGGTGCAGTGTGTCTCCAGAGGTCTGCACGGTGAAGTGGGATGTGATTATATCAAGTGTACTACCAGGCCGTGCGTTCTCTGGTTTGTCTGTGTTTGTTCCCTAAGTTTTTTCCTACTTGCAAAAAAACGCACACGGCACCCCAAAATAGCTCCCTCTTTCTAATACTCACCTAGGAAGTGATATCGTTTTGCTGCATGCCTTTCTTAAGGATCGGGGCAGTGATTGCTCCTAGGGGGAATGTACTCATGGTATGTTGCCTTAGCTGTATGGAGTCTCTCTAGGATCCCATACTTTAACAAGGAGTCTGCTTTTAAGCCACCTATATTGAGAATCAGTGTAGTTCCTCCTGAGTTGTATTGTCAGGTGAGACCAATGAACATATAACAGGGCAGAGCCTGCTGATTTGCCCTTAAAAAGGAATATGGCAGTTTTGGTGAGATACACCAAAAATAGGCG